ATCGCTGGTGAAGTTTATACTGGAAGTATGACACTTCTGGAAGATGAGGATATGGAAGAGGAAGTTCCTGAAGAAGATCCTGCAGTAGAACCTGAAAAGGAAGAAGAAATATTTGATGAAGATGCAGGTGTTTTTCCTTGAGGAACCAAAGATGGAAGTGGACCAGGAGGAAGCCAAGGAAGAGTCAACACCACACTTTCTGTCAAGAGAGATAGGTGAGGACTCGACTGCATCGCACTTACCATCAGGTGAGATGGATGCTAACCTTGATGATACTCTACGTCTGCCGAAATCTAAGAAAAGCCGCCTGAATAAAATACCTGATCCTCATTTTCATGAAGAAGTTCAGGATGATGCAACCATGGAAGAGAAGAAAGAGGCGGTGGAGAAAATAAAAGAGGTCAGAGAGGATGATGGAGAGAAGAAATTGGAGGCTGAAATCCAGGAATCTTTTCCATCTGAAGTAGTTGTTGAAAAGGATACAACAAAAGTTGACAATACCTATGAGCTGCATACTTCACCTTTGAAGTTGCTTGGAGAGCTTACAGGAGATCCAGGTATTGGCTTTTATCAACTATGCTTCAGGGAAACTCACGCAAGATTGCTGAATCATGTATGTTTCAGAAAAGGTGAGATTTCCCATCCTCATTATCAGTCGAGGATCAACGAGGATGATTTTGTTCGATCCATTCGAAATGTCTGTCCAGTACCTCCACCTGATTGTTATGAACATGAACCAGAGCATGATTTGAAGAGATTCTTCATCAATGATGATCGCATCATTTATTTGGATGGCAAGTATCAGGTCGATCCAAAGGCCCTTGAAAGGGCATGACATGCTCGAGAAGAATTGGAGGAGACGAAGAAGGAACTTAAGAAGGAACTGGAATCATATGGTCCCAAGGGACCCAGTTGGGACTTTGTCACCTTCTATGAAGAGCTGTGCAGAAGGTTCCTCAAAGGAAGAATAGAAGAACCATATGGAACTAACCTATCAGCCAGCTCAGAGTCCTTGACATTTTTATCCTGGAACTATGGCAACATGGTTCGTGGTCAGAAGTACACCACACCAAGGTTTCTCCAAGGACTTGATAGTGCAATGAGGCCACGCAAACAGAGCGCCATGTCACTTCAGAATGAGCAATTTGAGAACAACCTTTTCTTCAACATGCTCTTCTTTTTACGTGCACATGTCGTGATTCTCCAGGAAGCTCATCTTCTTGTTCCTGCCAAGGAATTTATTGAGCAAAAGAATTGGACAGTTTGTTTCAATGATTGGGAGAATCTTGCAGTGATGGCTAGATTGGCACCAGGTGGATATGTCAAGATCATTGCTGGACATGATCAAGAACTTGGTCACTGTGAACAGCGTGATGTAACTTGGGCTATCTACGAGATTTGTTTTGGAGAAACAAGGCCTCGTCAAGATTTCAAGGATGCAGACTTTGAATTTGATGACTATGGTCCTGAGGACAAGCGTGTTCCACTTACTCGAGCGAACATGCATACCATCAGAGTCTGTAATTATCATGTTGATACACACCGTGCTGTGGATGCCCACCTACTGACAGGAGAACAGACAGCATTGATGCTTTACGAGTGTTTTGTCTATGAGGTGGACATCATCTCTGGTGATGCAAATAGTTTGGCCTACAGAATGTCTGGGTACAAAAGGCAGCCAATGGCTAACTACTATTACAGCACCATGCAGCATTGGATCCGCAGGTTTTCAGAAGCTCGTGTAAAAGCAGATCCTGGTATCAAAGCACCTATTCCCAGAACATTTTACAGTTCAACTTCACAGGTCCTCAAGAAGTGTGAAGTTTACTTTGATAAACTCTGGGAAGAATATTCTACTGTTGAAAAAGAAGAATACCAAGGATCACAGCTTGGCGATACATGTTTGTCTACCATTGTTGAATGGGGTCATTCAATGAGTGAAGAGGAATATGAAAATTCCACAGTGAGCACGAAGGAGTTCATCTGTAATTTTTCAGAGAACTTTGCTATGATTGACACGGAGGTTATGTGCTCAAGGCCCACTGACGAGGACAGTCATGGTCCAATGTTTATTTCACTCGGACCAGCTTCCCTTTCATCTGGAGACAGAAGACAGTATCGCATGGGAGCAACTCTTCATGAGGCGAACTTGCGGAGGAAGGAGAGACAGAAGCAGAATAGAAAGAAAGGAAGGCCGCCAACTTCTGATCAAGCAGCTTCATCGTCTGGAGCGGCATAACTTCTGAGCGGGGACTGACTGTTAGATGATGGCTAGGAAGTGAAGATACTTCTGATCACAGTTGATACTTTGCTTCCATGCTTGACTTTAAGTTGCCAGGCTGAAGTTTTAATGAACTCTGGTTTGCAACCAGGAGAAACTTTTTGTCAAAGAAGATACTCCTGCATTCCAGGTTTATACGCTTTAGCAGGTAGATATGGACAGTTTTTCAGAACTGATGATAACTACCACAGCCGCTCTTTATGAAGTGACCTCTAATGGACAACCAGTCATGGTTGATGATTAAGTCATTTCATGATTTGCAATTGTAGTGCAAGATTTTTTTGTACATACATTTGCCGGTATCTCCTTCTTGTGTTTTTGATGTGAATGTGAAAGAGAGTCCTTTTGATGCAGTTTTATTTTGTCTGTGAATGAAAGCGGTCGAGACCACGTCACGAGAAGATTATTCCTCGGACCGTACGCTCCTTGCATTTTGCAAGGCATCTTAATTCATTGCATTGCGCGGTCTTGAATTTTCGTTTTTGGTTACGCGAGTGTCGTTTGAATTGTTTATAGGTCTCTGTAGAGAAAAAGCCGCTTTCCCTTTTTAGTTTGATTTAGCTCAGGCCATAAAGAGCTAGTGAGCGCCGGTACATGGTATCTCCGCCTGCGAAAAGTACAGTCTCCAGCCGAGGTACATTATCGTTTTGATTTTGTACTTGAGGTGAGTCAGCTATTGCTCCCTCACTGTATTTAGTAGCTTTGAGATTACCTTCTCTATAGTGTGAAACACACTGGATTAGGTAAGTACATGGCACCGTAGTTTTCTTTTAAGTTGTCAGAGCTAGCTGGACTGTTTTAGCCTTGCAGTAGAAAAAGAGTATGCGACATACGCAATCAGCTAGGAGTGGACATGAATCTTGTGCCTGCTGAAAAGTAGAGCCTACCTGTACAGGGTTCCACTCCAACAGCCGATATAGTGTGTCCATGCTTGACTGCTTCAAGGCTCAAAAGAGCAAGAGGATAAGACTCTGCGCATAAAAGACACTAGCGGTCTGCACCTCTACCGTGTACGCCCTAGTCACTCTTTCACATCGATGGCAACAGATTCAACAAGCTCACATGTTCATGACATCGACATCGATAGAAGAAACCAAACAAATCATGCAAGCAGCTTTGTTTTGCCTCTGGGACACCTCTTGGGCACCTCTTATGGCATCCACACTGGTTCAACTCCTCCGTGGAGGTTTTGGGATACGGTGCAACAGATTCAACAAGCTCACAGGTTCGTGAACACATCGGATGCATCGAACAGTGTGGCAAAGTCCAGCCACGCTTCCTTAATTATCGGGGACTTCAATTCTAAGGTTGGCTGTGTCATTGCTGTTTGTGTGTCTTACATGTTCACAACGTTTTACCTCATGAGCATTTGCCTCACTCCGCTTGATGTCCCACCAGTCCGGATGCACCCCTGCTAGCTTTCGTCACCTACCCTCGGCCTCAAGTTTTGAAAGCCAAAAGAACTAGTCCAGTAGTCCAGCTGCTATTAAGAACTACTGGCTACCCTCCCTGCTTTGCTTTGCGAGGGGCCACTTTGCTTGCTACTGCTTGCGATTACTACTGCCGCTGCGACTTTGCTGCCATCTTCATTCTTCTTGTTAAGTTTCCTTAAAATATTACTACTATATTATTGGTTCTACCAGAGATGGCCTCCACCCTAGTAGCGATGGCCTCCAACCTACTGTTTCAGCGCTGCTTCCACTAAAAAGCACTCTTCCATTCAACTATTCTCATGTTTGCCATCGTTTCTGCCGCGAGGGGATGCCTTCTGACTTCCTGATCACCATGTTTTCTTTGTCCCCATTTCGAACAGATGCTGTGATTTCTACACCTACAAATGAAAGCTAGGATCTCAACAGGGCGTCTAGGCCCTCCTTTCCCTGCCAACAGACAAAATAGTTGGAGAGGCGATGAGCCTGAGACAATTGCACAACACCAAAGACCGGGGGCAGCTAAACTCCAGATTTAGATATTTCACTTTCTGCCTTCGCTGGGCTGACTGCATTGCGTTTGTGGATCAGGTTGCCCTAGTTTTCATTGCCTGGGTGTACTACTTGACAGGCTAACAGCGAAACATTCCTCGGGGGTTTCATTCGAAAAGGTCAGGTGAGCACATCAAGCTGAACCGGAAAGACTATGTGTGAAAGAAACCTTAGTGTTCCCTCCGAAGCTTGCCCAGAATCGCATTACAAGGCGTTTGTTTTCTTGAAGGATTGCCTTATTGCCTCCCTCCTCTTGCGATGTTTGATCCATACCCAAACAATCTGATCGTAAAGCGTGGATTAGCCCCCGGACGGGATATGACTCTCAACTGTTGGGTTGATCCAGCTCACCGATATTATGTTGTCTCAAAAGAAGGCTACAATAGGCCTCAGGTCCAAGGTTGCCCTTTAGGGATTTTGGCTCAAGAACATCACGACTGAGAACTTAGTCCGAGTGTGCGAACGGTTCAATACTTTGTGTCATGGTTAAGAAGGTTTGCTGTGTTTTTTGTCCGATGAATAATTGTTTATGAGAGAATGCCGAAGACGTCCCTTCCTTCTTCCTTTTCTCCGTTTTGTGGGGTTCAAGAGATTCACCTCAGGCGCTTTCAGGTTTAGCCTCCACCCTACTAGCGATAGCCTCCCTAAAGAAGGTACGATGTGTTTTGAACACAGCGCTGATGTGGTGTTGAAACATGTTGAAACCACTGAATCATGGGGCCATGCGTTCGTTTGAGGAGCTCGTGGCTGCGGGTTTCTCTTGGCGCTGGGCTTTCGTGGGTCAAGCCATTGCCTTTGGTGGCAGTGCACTGCTTTGTGTGGCATATGGTGGCCGAAGTGATGCCAAAGTGTTTGAGCGATCGGACGCGACGAACGGGGTTCCTTTCTACTTCGGTCAAACTACCCCTAGAGGCCCGGTTCGTCCTCTCCAGGTGTTTTCCTCGTGTTTTGCCAGGATATTTAGACTTTGCGGAGGACGAACCAGTGAAGCACACGGAAAGTCAGCGAGCTCAGAGACTGTGTCAAAGTCGGAGAAACATGTTTGTTACTAGTAGCGATGGCCTCACCCTAGTAGCTTCTTGCTCCTAATAGCGAAATATATTTAAAAAATAAAGAGGAAGAAACTGCGCACAACGCTGGCTTTCAGAAACAGAAAGAAGCCAGCTCAGAGACGCATGCTCCGCATGCCTGTTGCCCTGGAGGTGAAGACAAGGTCGTCAGCAAGGGATCCAAGAGTGAAAAGTCAAAACGGATGCAGGTTTGGAAGAAGAAAAATTGTTTTACAGTTTTTGGTATATAGATAATAGTTGTTTTAAATGATTGAGAAAGAAAAAAGGAGATGACAACAGGAAGGTAAGGGATTATGTTCCCCCCATCAAAGGTGCCTTACCTTCCTTTGTTCATCTCTTTTTGACCAACCTACCAGCCTAGCGATTGCCTCCACCCTACTAGCTACACAAAGTGTGCAGTGGTTTGTATTTATGTACTTAGTTCTTGTTGAGGTGAAGTGGAGTACCCCAGCACTGAGAAGTGGGGCGTGTATGAGCCCAAGTTGCTGCAATTGACAAGCAATCAGCAATAAAGAAAGAGAAAACCAGAAAACCCACCCAAAACAGCAAATACTATGTTAATGTCTTAATCCTTATTATTTTCTTTTGTGGCGAATTACTTTTCTCACAATCAGCAATCAGCATTTGCACCCGAAGGTACTGGGCAACTAATGTGTCATTGGCAGCACAGCTTGGCTTTCTTGGTGGGCAACGCTCCAAGATGGTCCAAGGGAGCTTCTTGTTACTAGTAGCTTCAAAAGACCTACTAGTAGCGTCCTTGCTCCTAGTAGCGATGCCCTGTGCTGCTAGTAGCTTCTTGTTCCTAGTAGCGATGCCCTTTGCTACTAGTAGC